TCAAAGGTTCTTCAAATTGGAAATTAGCACTGCTACTATTACAACATTCTAAGTAACAGTTTGAGGCATGGACATCAGGTTTCGTGAGTAGAATTGATAATAATTTAATATATAATTTAATCATTTTTAATAAGATTTTTTAATAAGATGTTTGCACTTTGCCTTTAGAGCCACTGCATTCATAAGAAAGTCTGAAGAAACAATTCTGAGGTTGTGATGCATGTCTCTGGTTGATAGCTCTGAGCTTCTGAGATAGGTCTATTCGTCTCTCCAGAGCTCTGAAATTTAATTTGGTTCTGCTAAAGCTATATGAATAGCATTTTTTTTGTTATGAACTACAGAATAAAGTCATTAACACAAATTACTTGAACACAGTTTGGTAATATGTCTGCAGTCTTTTATACATCCATTAGGCCTTCAGACAATGACCATTGCAGATTTCTGGAGGGTGTAATTTGTCTGAAGGTTCTTTCACACACAAAACAGAGCATTGGAAGCTCCCTAGGCAGTTCAAATGTCTCAAAATCAAGTCCCTATCAGTTTAAGCCATTGCATTTCCTGCCCTTTCATTGTTTTACAAGTGATTGTCAAGAACACTTTTGAAAAGTCACTGCTCTAAAATGAATAACAAAACTGCAACAATCAAGTTCCCCTTTTCAACTTAGAAATATATCATTCCTCCTTACTACAGGAGCCTAAAGAAGTCTCATTCATGTTCTAAAACTATTCGGACTTTAAGTTGGAGACAAGAAAAAAAACATATGCATACCAGAATGAGCATGTTAGTGTTTGAAAATCATCTTTCAGCTAACAGTAGTGTTTGATCTCACTTCGTGGCCAAAAGGAATAATATTTAACATTCCTCTCTCCTCCAACCTGTCTTTCTAACAAAATTAAGACTGTTTGTAGACATGTAAATGTCTACCTTTATGATACATTATGTTTCAAAAAGAATATAATGTACACAATTGCAAGAAAGCCAGGGGCTGTGAATTGGAAATGGGAATTGGAGAATCTTGCCCAGGTGCTGTGTGTACTAATACATAGTGGCAGTGATGTTCAGTCACTTGCACTTGAAGAGCAGTGTCTGGAAAACTGCAAGCCTCATTTACATTAACATTTTCGGTTTGTGCTGTAGGACAAAAATGTGGATTTCAGCAAAAAAAAATGTATCACTAAGAGACTGAAACAGTTTTCCACATTTTATTGGTTTTCATACTAGTTTTTTGCAGCACATAAAATCTAAAGGTGCTGAGCTGCAAGTTCTGTAAAAAGTAAAACTCAGGAATCTTACATTTCACCACCTGAGTTCTTACATAAAGAAGCAATTGGCACTTAAACTCTTAGGAATGATATAATGAACTTCATTATTGTATTCTATTCTGCTCTATTCTGATATGATATGAATTGCTGCAGCAGTATGATAGTTTGTCCTACATTTTAAAGACTACTTCCAGGATTTATTGGTGTGTCTTAGAGGGTGGGGCAATGTGGTCAGTTTTTGAAAGGGTTGAATATTTAAGGAATGTGCTTCCTCTTCTGCTATATAATCAATTGAAGCCAAAGGCAGTCACGACATATGCTGTAAAAAGTCTGCAAAAAGAAGACTGTTTTCACTCTGTAACTTTATGTACTCTTCTATGAGAGTAGAGGCACACTATTGTGAGACTGGCACATTTGTCTGACTGGCACATTTGTCTATGCATACAACAGTTGAAGATTTTAATGGATAGAAGTGCATTTGGGAACTCTTTGCAATATTATTTCAGGTGGGTAGCTGCATCAGCATCTGTAGGCTGCAAAGGAATAAGTAATAGGTTTATTCCATGCTGAAAAGAGAAGAAAGAAAACACAACATTTAGGTTGTGGAGGCTTCTTCAGGTGTGAGAAAGACAGGACAGACAGCAAAGATTAAATAGCATAGGATAATTGTTGAGGGCGGTCAAGGGAGCTGTGAACAAGAAGATTACGCAGTTTAGGTGGTCGGCGATATGAGATGATGGGGCAGTCAGAAAAGAGGGCCCCAGTGGAGGGATCAGCCTGTAGGATGGAAAAGTTGTTGTTGATGGTCCTGGGGATAGAAAGTGTGTTGGGGTGGAAGGGAAGCACCAAAGGAATGCATTTATAAGTCCCGGGGTTCCTCATCAGGTTGATGGTCCGAGGGCTGTTTTTGGCTTGGATGAGGGCCCTGTCAATAATGGGTGGGGTATCCTCTGCTGATGAAAAAGGAGTTCATCTTGAGTGCTTGGTTATTGAAATCCATGTCATCACTGCTGAGTCATCCTAGCCGAAGGAACTGTGAAAAGGGGATAGAGTTTTTAGTGTGTTTGGGATGAAATGAGCTGTACATGAGATAGCTGTGTGAATCAGTGGGTTTTGTAATAGACTGAAGTAGAGAGTCGGGGATGGTTAATGTATAGGTTTATGTACAGGTACTTTCCCCTGCAACAGAGCTCGCTGCTTCACCAGTACCTCCGTCTTCAGCAGAGTATTGTGTCAGCAAAAATTGCTGTGGTGGTGTTTGACTGGTAGTACAACTTGATCCATGGAACGATTGTTTATGAGGACAGCTGTCTTTCTTTATGATATTCAGTACACCTATCTTTGAGTGGGATTTTTGGCACATTCCACTGAGCTAGGTTTATCAGCCCCCCCATTAGGGAAAACATCACCTTTCACAAGCTCAGCAGGTCAGCGCAATGAAACCCTCGCTAGATTGTGTCCATTTTTGGTTATTACAGCGGCTTATTTCCTCTGGGACTAGTACTGAAAAAATATAAAAACAACGCAGTGTGGCAGCTGAGACCACAATGACATTTTTCATTTTCACCTGTTGAGAAAGAAGGAATGCTGTTTACAGTAGTGGCTGAAACTCAAAAGGAGCTGCACAGAGAGCAAACTAATAATTGCAGAATTCAGGCTGCCAGGCTACTCTTGTCACAATTAAAATGAGAAAGGTCCTAGCACACGCTGCAGAGTAACCTGTTATTAAGGAATGCAGCCAGTTCGTTTTTTTGACAGCAAGGAGTTCCATTTCTCAGGTGTTTTCATCCTCGCTGGTGTTGAAAAACACAGTGGAGGAAAGAACAGCTGACACCGAGTGGGAAGCATGAAGGCTATTTCAGTCCTTCAGAAAAAAATATTAATCCTTAGAGACCTGGCTAAGATTTTCCTTTCCTGTTAAATGCAGCTGTGCAGTCTGGCTCCTTGAATCGTCCTTAGCCCATTTCACAAAGCCATTTATTTGCGTTAGAAGGGAAGTGGTCCTCGCTGCGACCCTCACCAGGAACACGCGGCTCTCTGATAATGGATGGATGGATGGGGTCCCTGTTTAAAAGCTCTTGTGCTCTGTGCTCCATTGAGGGAGAAACAGATTGTTCTCAAATGGAACTGAGTCAATGAACATATGCCAGTGCTTTGAGGTATTTTTTTCCAAATTTCCATTATGCTATTAACATCAAAACCTCTTTGCTTCCGATCGGGAAGAGTTTTAATTCAGCACAACGTCTTGTATTTCTCTGCGGCATAAGAGAAGCATTTTTATTTTGGTTGGTAGACACTGTCCTCTTGTGGTCAGAATATGGAGTAACACTTTTCACCAACTGGTAGAATTTCAGAAAAGCGAGGATGTTGCCACTGTTTTATCAATCGTGTATAAATTAAGCATGATCTCAAAATTACTTGACCATTATATTTTTATTTCTTTATATATACAGACTTTTGTCTGCTTTTACATACTTGAAATGAATTTTCAGCAAACCACTGTGCAATTAAGACTGCCCACGTATAGATTATAAATAATATAAATAATAATTTATATAATTACCCAGCCACAATATGTGAATAACATAAATTGAAATAATCTTTAGAGTTGGAGTTAAGGTTAAGATTAGAGCTAAGGTTAGAATTAGGGATGATAAGACACACAAAAAGTATTAGAATTACTTTTGCTAAGCAAATAAACAGTTACTTTACCCTGGTGCTCCAGACCCACTGTTTCTTTTAGGAATCAAAACACTGTTACAAACAACGGGTAACAACCCTATAAATCCAGTGTCAGGATTGATTCATTTTTCATTAAATGGTGACAGAGGCAGAGAATCACAGTGTTAAATATTGCATATTTAGCTCCAGCCTTGAAAATCTGAAGCTCTTCGCTAGTGTTTTTTATTAATATGAAAGGCCATGCTGCAGTATGGAGCTACATTCTCGTCACTTGTGCTGACAGAAAATATAGTTGTTGTAAGTGACCCCTGACCCCTGCAGCAATTTGATCACAGCACATTCCCTGGAACAGTACAGGGTTTGGAGAAGGAAGCCACACTGCCTGATACCCATGTCTTATGCTCACTTCATCTGAAGGCAGCATAGTTTATTTAACTCAGCCAAGTTTACTATTCTGTCTGAGTACATTATTTTTAATGAGTACATTAGTTTACTAAAAGCTGTTCTTGCTGAATTCATCAAATCAAATTAAGACAAAATTAACAATACATCACCAGACGCTGTTGTGTGTTTTTATTCCTCACTGCCCGTAACTCACCATTCTCAGTTTCATAAAACTTCAATAAACTTTAATGCTTACAGATGTCAGTAACACGCCACAGACATCAGTAATAGCAACTGTAATTGCTAATTAAGTTTTTTCCATAAATTCCAAACACTCTTCTGTTAAATCTTCTCAGCAGCCCTTGAAATTTTAATGCAGGCAGTTCATCCAACTAAGATAAAAAAAGATTCCCCTTTGTTTAACTTTCAGTCTGCTTTTGTCTGACTGCTTTTGTCATCACCTCTCCAGTTAAACCTAATTTTTTAGTTGTCTGCACTGAAACGTTCCATACATGGGATGTATCTTAGTTTATCTTTATCTTTTTTGACGTAATAACGGGTACAAAAAATATCTTCACTAATTAGGAAAAGATTCGAGTGGCCCTCCTTCATTGAAACCTCAAGCGTGCAGCTGACTCATTTTGTTTTGTCGTGTGGTCTTCGCCCTTCAGAATCCTCGAGCTGCAGCAGAATGGCGACATGGATATCCTGAAGTTGAAGTGGTGGCCAAAGGACAGCCAGTGCGACCTGTACTCCTCTGTGAACACAAAGCAGAAAGGAAGCGCCCTGGACATTAAGAGCTTTGCAGGAGTGTTCTGCATCTTGGCGGCAGGTGTGGTCCTCTCCTGTTTCATAGCAATGATTGAGACATGGTGGAACAAGAGGAAAGGGTCAAGAGTACCATCCAAAGAGGTAAGCGACTTTGGTTTTCTCTCACAGAAAGCCCCCCACTTCGCTGTGAGTTGTGGAATGAGTGCTTTCTCACTGTTTAAGTTTTCGAAGCGACAACGCGCAAACCAATCGACTTACCGCTTACGAAAACAATCATGGCCACATTGATTGCTTTCGGAAAATAAATGTTCGGCAGAATAACTGGCTGATGAATTTCCTCACACTAAGGCAATTTCTCCAGGGAAGAAACGTCATTTTTGAAGTTTAAAACTTAATTTGGATACAAATATGCACTGTGTATTACATCCTTAATATGGGAATACTATTGAAAAGTATTCAAAAGTTTGATACAGTATACGTCAGGAGAGAACTGAACAACAATTCTCAAACCTGTCTAATTGCTCCCCTCAAAATGAGTTCGCATGGATTGAGAACTTTATGTACAGTTTGAAGAGAACAAAAGCTGGGTTCTGAAAATACACATCACCTTTTTGTAATAGTGCAGCAGTCTAACTGTCTATCCCTGTGCTGTACAGTCGGTTTTTGAGCTGCGTCCCAGATGCTGCCATCTCTCTGGTGTCACAGCAGCGGCTGGCTTTTCCAGCACACCTGATTGGAGAAGGTTGTTTCTCTCACAGCAAGGACTGGCATCACACAGGCGGCTGTCTCTCATCCCACTTTCCCACCTGGAGAGAGATACTAGAGTACTCACAACCCATAATTCATTTCAGCATCCTTGGGATTTATTATTATTAGATTTGCAGATTTATTGCAATGAAATTTTATACTCGTGTCCCTTTCCAGATACACATTCAGACTAAATGGGCTGTAGATTGTGCTTTATTTTTTGGAACTTAGCTGTTCTGAAATAGCTCCCTCTGCCATAGTTGTAATTTTGTCATGTTTAGTGCAACAGATTTTCACTGGGCAAGGAAAAATCTGTTGTAATTCAAACTACTTTGTAGAGACTTTAGATTTCTGTCCCTTCACAGAGAGTTAGAAAGATAATTTTGTTCTTGTTTGGAGATCTTTTTTTTGCCAAAGCACAGAATCACAGCCATGTACAAAAACCAATGATTATTTGGTTACTTTCGTGGATGACAAATTGATGTGTTTTAGTGTTTGTCCCAGATTTTAAGAAATTCAGTTATTCACTCGCTAATTTCCATTAATATACTTTAATATATGTAGTACATCTTTAAATTAAGGAGCAAAAATTTTAAAAATATAAATTCCTTAGAACATATGGTTCTTCCATCAGTCCTGCTGTTTCCAACACATTTCATTTGTTATTTAACTGAATGCTTGAATTCTCAGACACCAACTCCATAAAATGAAAAGAGACACAAGTGGAACGCTGTTGTTTCTGCCCTCAATCACTGCTGTGTTATACATTTTGATGTTCTGATGGTCAACCAGATGGTATGGAGGAATTCACCCACTGTTTGAGCAACTGCAACTATGTCACACAAAAAACAATTTTCTATTTGTCTTTTGCACACACAGAAGTTGTTGAACTGCTCTCTCTAAAAGCCAAAACTACACTAAATTCAGACATTACTTAGTGTTTTTACAGGTCCTGAGTAGCAAAAATCCTTTACTACCTCTATTATTTCAGGTAAAAGAGCCTAATCTTGGACTGTAAAAACAACTTTTAGTCTTCATTTCTGTGTTTTATCAATGTTTCAGCACTCCATAAATAATTCAAATAATTCTAACACTCCATGAAATATTCAAAGCTTTTTCACAAAGTTTATAAAATCCATAAACAGTATTCACCATGAATTAAAATTAACCTTTAAAAATGAAGGCTCCATGCTTGTCACCATTCAAGCGAAGAGTTCACAGCTCACTGAGTTCCAGCTGTTTTTTGCTATCAATACTGTAAATATTACAACAGTATTTAAGTGTAGTAATCTATGCAGTTACCTGTTCAATAAAATGTACAGCAGGATGCATAGTGGAGTCTCTTTCTTCATACAGAGAGCAATATTTTTCTATGTTTTTTTATGTTATAGGCCCAAGCTATTGCATAAATACTGTACTTACCAGTCCACATTCATACTGTACACGTTTATAAAAATGCCTGCACTATTTAAAATATAAAAATCTTTTAGGTAATGATGAAGAAAACTGTTCTGAGTAAACATCTCACACTTCAGCAAGTAGGAGATGGTTTTTGAAAAGACAAATTCAAAACCATTTGAATTTGTTTGAAGCTTGAGGTGCTTCTATCTCAGATTGAAGGAGACCTTTGCTGCATGTTCAGGGTGGCCAGAGTGTATTGTTAATTCAGAGTGTGTCCCAAAAGTTTGGACTCTTTTTACAGGACCATGGTTCAAAACCCCCAACCAAACTGCCCATTTTTTTCAGTTGATTTCAGTAACAGGCATAGACTTCATCAATGATAAATAAGTATCTTACCAATTAATGCTTGTGATGCAAAAAATAAAGCCAGTAGCCAAAATGCAGATGCAGAGTGCCTGTATGATAATATGCAATACACATCTGAATTAGCTCATAAATCCCCCTTGCTTTCAATTTCTGTTGTGGTAAGAGCAGGAGATGGAAGTGTAGAATGCACACAAGGCAAAAGTGAGAAAAGAACCATGAATGTGCTTATAATGAACAGGCCAAATAACTCTGTGTACAGAACTATGTGTGCAGGTGCCTCATTGTCCATTTCTCCATTTCCACCATTGGTACATTGCTTGACACAGCATCATATAAACATCACAAACTACATGAAAACAGTCTATGTGTGTCCTTTAAAGTCAGAAGATATTACAGTATCTTAATTTCAGTTCATAGTTGCCTTACTGTGAACTGAAGACTTTTTTGAGGTCGAGTTTCAAGGATTCCTTTTTTGCCGACGAAGAAAGTGCTGATGGGTCTGACTGAGTGAGCCAGATCAGAGGACAGAAGATTGCTGAAATACGATTTTAACATAATGTTAAAATCAACTTTGTGGCAAATAGCAGTACAAAGTGGGTTTGATCACCACAGAGTCTTTGTCATTACCCCCATTCATGACCAGGTAGCCCTGCAGAGCTCAAAGCACACACATCATAGTTCAAAAGCTTTTATCTTTCATAGTTTTGAATAAAATGGGTAGGTGAACAGCTTGACCACAGACCTGAAATAATGGTAACATCGTGTTTTAGAGGTAGCACAATGGAAGTCAAAGAGGTGAACAATTTACGGGTCAAAAGGAGCAGTTACTATTTTTATCACTTACTACCGAACTTTTTAAAGGTTTTTAGGAAATCAAAACCAAAAATGACTGCATTATTGAAACAGAAATTGTACCAAAGTATCTATTACCACAGCCCTGTTTTAGCTGTGTCATACAACACCTGTTCTGTTAGTCATGTGTACTGAGATGGTTCTGGTCACAGAGTGGCCTTTGTACAGCTGATTCTGAATTCCCCAGTGATCAGAACAGCTTTCTCATTGAATGGGCTCACGTCTAAATAATGAGAGACTAAAAAATTCCATTCACTTTTTAACTTGTTTGGAATCCTACCTGCTGTGGACAGAACTTGCTGTTTCTGTAAAATTCAAGACTGTTCAAACCAGTGTATGAGGACTCCAAGGAATGGATTGCATTAAAAAAGTAATGCCTTGTGTTTTCTAAAGTTTGATGAAAAATGAAAAATTGTGCAGAGGCCCGACAGCATGGATGTTGGAAATTCTATCACTTGCATCGTATTAGGTGTTAGCCTCAACTCATTCAAATTTAGTTACAAATTCACACTATAGATTAAATTACCTCAATGCCTTCGCTCTAGTGCCAAAATCACACTAGAGGTCTCACTAATACAGTATGTAAGTTGTAACTCTATAAACACTTTCTAATTTAATAATCCTGTTTTTATTTGGGGATGAATCTGAGTCTTCCTAAGTTTTTTATCATGTTTTTTTCCCTTTACTGAGAGCGAAGTTCTGTCATTTCAGGATGCAAAGACACAGAGTCAGTGAAACGCGAATTGCAAGGCAATTGTGAAACACTCACAATGCAAGTCAACACATTTCTGAAACACAAACAGAGGTTCCCATCTCTATGAAATTCTAAGTTGACATTGGAGCAGTTAAAATTTCTTTTCCCCGTATCCAACAAAAGTTACATCCTACTTTTTTTTGTAAGTCAGCCAAATTGTCCAAAAAAAAAGGAGACAGGAGAGGAAATACTTTTAAAAAACATTCATATCCATGCAGTGGCTATGGTTTGCTGCAGAAACCTACTGGGCTCAGCACTCTACTTGTACATGCTCCAACAGGTATGAACCAGTCAGGGGGAGACCACAGCTGGATATGACACCACACAGACGGGCAGTTTTCATTTAGGTTCAGGACGCGGGCTTTTAACTTGTTCTCAACTGTGTCCTCTCTCGACATGAAAAACACCAGGCCCTCTACTAGCACAATGCAGCCAGAACAGCAAGGGCTAGAACAGGTTATGGTTTTAATGCAAAGATCTCTGAGGTTTATGACTTTGTCCTTCACGCCCTGTGCTTTTCACCTCTACTCAAGCTTGAAAGCTTATTGACATAGGTCATTAACGCTTAAACCTCGTAATGCCATCAAAGTGCTGCTTATTGTCTCACTCTGAAGAACCGCTTGGTTCAGAAATATGTCATATAAAGTCAGTGCTCTGGTTAGTTACCCCTGAATGAAATCCTGCTCACACTGAAATATTGAAGGATTTTTTAAAAAGAAACCAGTCTGCCACAGCCCACTATTAGTCTAATTACTAATTTAACACACTGTTATATAAATCCTTTTCAACTCCACTCACACCTCTTGTTCAATCAGTGCTACAAAAATAGAATTACTGCCCTGAGATGAAAAGATTAATGATTACAACTGCAATTAATTGATGATGTCAGTTAAAATATAGAAGCGTTATAAAAGGGATATAAAAGAGTTTGGCCTGGTCACACATTTCAGAGAAGATTATGGAAGCTGAAATCAGTTTTTGCTAATATTTTGTCAAAAAAATACACATAACATTTTCTGCT